ACCGATTACCAAAGTTTTTCGTAAAGTAGAATTTGCTAACATTTCAAATGTATGTCAGATTTAAAAATTATTTAATATTAATAAAATTCCCAATTTAAAACAGTAATAAATATACCAGCGTTCAGAAAAACAACCAAATATGTAGAAATTTATAATCTTATTCGTATAATATGGCAACATAAAGTCATAATTCTATATTTGAAATTAATGTATTCTTTTTTTTAACGATTTACACCAAATCCATCAAATAAAATCAGTTGATTCGCGCCGGCAGAACTCAACGACTGCCTTATTTGTGAGTTAACGTATAAATCACGGTTAGCTGTGAGTGGAAACATGCGTTAGGTATTTGCCCATTAGTGAGATATAGTTAATGAATTAGTTGAGCACCTCGTTCGATGTCGAGAATTCTAGTTCTGATTATTGTATCCCTTTATAATAACTAACGGTTAATTCACAATACGAGTAGGGCTGGCAAGACGCATCTATATCGCATGCTTTCAAAAAATTTTTTTTATATGATAGGGTGACAAACGAGCACACAGGCCACCTGATGGTAAGTGGTTGCTGTGGTCCAGACAACTACATCTATCCTCGATTACGAATCAAAATGCAGATGAGTTATCACCTATGAGGACTAAGATGGAATGCCTCGTTTCCAGTAAAAGGGGTATCCGGTTCTCTACACTCACCATACGAAACACAGTGGCATTAAGCTGCTATTTTACGCTGGAACTCTGTGGTCCTTCCACAGTCGAGCCGACTTATTGATGCTACCATAATATAGCTGATGATGCCATAATATAGCTGCAGCGTGGCTCTACCACGTCATAAATGTCTTAAACGATCATCACTTTCGTTGTGAAGTTAAAAGTTAAATATCAACCTAAATACAACCCAACACTTCATATAAGTCTTCTTTATTTTTAATATATTATTTTAATCCAGTATTTGCCTACTATACTAACAAGGTAATGGTAGGAATAATGAGGAATAATAATTATTTTCAATTATTATTTAAATTTTATATACTTATAAAAGGGTTTTAGCTCAGGGTAGGACTAGCAGTTCTGTGATAACTGACAAAACTGTTGTCGGAATAAATATGAGAAATATTTTGAATTTTTCTGACAAACAAATTACCGCTTAAAATTGCAATTAATAATAACAGAGGCGTCTACAAGATTTGAACTTAAGGAAATACTAGCTTTTGAGCTACCACGCCTCTAAGTTACAAATTATTACTATGTAGAAAAAGTTTAGTTATTTAAGGTACAACAAGGCAATGCTTTACAATACCTCTTTTTTATCGAAAATCTCTGCGGACACCCGCACAACCTCACCAAACATTATAATCGGATCAATGTTCTAGAAAAGCATAGAAGACGAACGAACGAAGAAATAGGTAGTGTTCATTTTGTTAGAAACCTTAAAAGAAGTTCACACAGACACTCTCCAAAGTTTGGCCGTAGTCGGATGAATGGTATGAAAGTCACAGAAGACGAACCAACAAAAATCTTCCTTTTTATATTATCATCATCATCATCTTTACAGCCCTTCACAAGTCCATTGCTGAACATAGAATTTGTCCAAGGAATGCCACAAAAATAATCTAATATTTTCATATCTAAATCCATTACATTATTTTTTTAGTATGAAAAATAAAAAGGTCTATTAGCTATACCCAGATCCCTTCAAAACTAAAAATGAGTTAGACACTAATTTATATTACAACGTTGTGATTAAAAATCTTAAGGTATATGAACCAGACTTAAATTAGATGTCAGTGTAAATTCGTGGGATGCGAGGCCTACACTTGACTTTTTAATATTCAGTTGTTAATGGCATTCTATAAAGAAAGACGTGTTATAATGGGACCAAAGTGAAATATGGAGCAATAAACAAGCTTAAAGTCGGAAATGACGTTCGTTAGAAGCTAAGTAGTTTTGGTATATCTGACTTTTATTGTAATCATTATTATTATCAATTTTGATGGCGTGATGGCGGTGTAAGAATATCCACTATTCCATATCGTCCCGTGGATGTGGTAAAAGGCGACAGGGAAAACACAAACCAGGAGATGGGCTGCAACGTATTCCTAATAACAACAGAAAAACTCCGATTGCCAACCAAGCGCGGTAACTTTGGCAAATATCACTCTTAAGAGACAATCTATGGAAAGCTTATGCTCGGTAGTGGACGCTCATAGGCTGTGGTAATCACGATATAATTATTTTAGTGTAAATTCCTGACAGGACTTTTCCAAGTTAGGTCTACATATGTCACCTGACTTGATCGCTACGCTTCGCTGGTTAAATAGTCAATGGATCACGTTTTCCACTTTTCTCTAATAAAAATATCTAGTACCAATCTACGAATGAATTTTAAGTTTTCTACTACTGAATACTAACTACTGAATATCGATTTCGTCCTTTCCGGGTTATATATTAGATACTACCATAGAATACTTTAATACACAATAGAATGGCCGTCAACCTTACTTTGCAGAAGGATTGGTGTCACGGGGAGCACACATACAAGCAATTACGTCGTATTATCAGTTATCACTACTACTATCGATTAATGTTTTTGACACATAAATGTTTCTTTATTTTTGTTTCTAATATTCACAAAATATAAATAGTTTCGACTTACTGGTTGTAGAATATGTCTCCTTTATTTCAATTCAATTTTCCACTGTTCTTTCGACACGTAATTATTGCATAATTTGCCATTTTTTAAATAATTTGCATGCAGCGACGCTTGACAAGAAAATTGGAAATGATTTATTGTGTTGACATTTATACGTGTAAATTGACATGTTAGTGACATGTAGTGGCTACACGGGCTCCGCCCACTCCCCCGTTCTATTATGTATGTATTATAGTATTCTATTGATACTACATCAAAAGAGAATATTTCTATGCAAGGCTAAACTAAACACGTTGGATTTCTGAATAGCTTTCTGTGAAACTGATAATTGTGTCTCATCGGGAAACATTTACATATCCTACATATGTAAATTACTATTGGCAACAATTACCGTCTAGTACCCCCATATCATCCTGTTGGTATATCGTGTACTAACATTTATGTATATAACAACTAATGGGGGTAAACAACAGTATTAAGTTAACAAAGATAAAAATTGATACCAGTGACTTAGACTATTCTAATTATTATCGTCGGAAGTATAGTCTACACAAGCTAATAGTGTCACATGGGATAACAACGAAACGAAAACAAAGAATCTTGTGGAGTTGGAACTGCCCAGATTTTAAACAGGGGTATTATTGAACTTTCAAGGGTAGGACAGTCAAACCTCTGTGTTTTCCCTTGTAAGCCGATGCCGCAGTCAACTAGAAGTAAAAGGCGTGAAGATTTAATCACAATATGTAGATGGTGTTATAAACATTTTGCATATTCCAAATCAGAGAGAAGTATCAAGGGCTTAAGAATGCAACACATATTGCATTGCGATTTAGAAGAGATAATTAACTATTCTTCCTACATCGAGAAGAACTCCATTGTAATGGTGGATCACCATAAATTTATACGCGATAGAGCTTCGCTGTAGCGTACTGTGGCTACAGCACGAATGGATCGGTTCAGCCGGAGTACCTCTCAGTCTCACCCAGTCACACAATTGACCAGAATAAAGAGCCACGTGATATATTTCGAATGGTTAGTGATGACGATCGGAGATCGTTTTACTAGTAAGGACGCAGTCCGTCTTAGATACCTACATAAACGAGAGTAGATGTAGGTTTCTTTGAGCCACATCACTTATAATCAAGTGGACAGTGCGATCGTTTATCACCCCAGTTCTAGATATAGACATCTCCGACAATAGAAAGCGTTTAAATAAATCATAAAATTTGGCAGACCATGAACTTTACTGACTGATTTCACTTGAGAGACTGCGATTTACAGCAAAATTTTGGCAATCCTACGCGTTCTGTCTTTGCAACGCATTTGATTCTTCTTCTAAATTAAATATTAAAAATATAAGCTGTTGTTGTTCTCTTAAAACTCAAAGTTGTAAGTACAGTTAACACTTCCCTAATCCATTACGATTGCCGTGAAACTAATTCTTATACTAGAAACTAAGAATCTTGGCACTCTTCGTAAATTGTTCATATAATGATAAGAAATATTCTAGATTTTCAATAAAATTGAATTCATGCATCAGTTCACCGAATTTTAAGCATATTTTTAAATATTTGTTTATTTAAAGAAATAACATTTCCTGTGAAATCACGTAACCATAACAACCAAAGTTTTATGATTGGGATAGTCTTAAAATTCAAGAGAAATTAAAAAAATATGGGTAGAGAAATTAAAACTTTATCACGCTCCCACACCAAAAGTTTCCGTGTTTATTTGTTAATCGTTATCCACAATATACGGAATTACACGGCCGAACGATTTCCGTTTACGAAAGCATCCAGTTACCGGTAGGTAACCGTTAAAAAAAAACGTATAATAGACAAGGCTTCACCATAAATAATAGAATCATTAACATCTGCCGCTATGATTTCGAGCATCAATTTTTTTGGCGCCCAAAAAAAGTTATTCAAACGATGCTTAAGAGGCCTAGTTAGGGGCGTCATCGGAACATGAATTATTTTGACGGTTGTTTCGTTACATTATTTTTTTAATTTGGTTGTTTAATGCTTTAACGTTATAATGCCAATGGTTGCCAACTGTTTGCATATTATAATTTGACATGAAATTAATGTTTTGCCATTTAAAACATTCAGAATTCACTCCCAAGAAGGAATGTAAGTTTATTTAATAATTATTGATTTCAATTAAACTTTGTTTTTTTTTATCGATTCATGAACGCTTGAAAGGATTATACCAATGAATGATTAAAATATTAGGTTATCGCTGTATCAACACTTAAAATTATACATCTGATACATTTCATAAAGACTTTATAAAATTAAAAAGTCTTAAAATTCGAAATTTAAATAAAAATCAAAAAGTCTACTAACCAAATGATCCGAGTGGGGATCTCTTGGCGCACTAGGCACTGGATTGGGCCACAGCAACTTTGACAACATCCGTTGACTTTGGTTATAGATGAGCTCCTACGAAGGTGAGAAAAATGAAATTTAGTATGATAAGAATCAAGGCGAAATAAGCCTGACGATGAGGAGGATGTGGGAAGGTCGAAAATCCAATTTGACCTAGGTTTTGTGTCGTTTGAAGCTTTAACAATCAAATACGAAACGTGATAATGTTTGCCAACGAATTAATGTCTCAGGTTCAGTAACACCATCCAATTAATATCATTGCTAGTATATTACTGTTAGTTTTGATTATTGTAGATAATTTTCTAATTCAAGAGTTTGTAAATATTTAAGGCTATTACAACTTTGTATGTAATAGTGGGCTGTATTGCCAACTTTACGGTTTCAAAAAAATTTCAATCTTTTTTTTATTTTTGAAGGGACTTACGAAACCACTGTTACGTCAATTACATGAGCCTAAAGTAAAGACAGCCTTTCTCATGTTCGTTGTTACTCGTAATATTAACATCCATTTATCAACGTGGGTGGTAAATAATTATGATCTGTACCTTATCAGAATATGTCTAGTTAAGATGTCGTTCAAAAAAATATTTCTTCGTATCGATCCCCAATAACTAAATATTATACGCGCATTGAAATAAGTTGAATGATTTTTGATAATAATACGTTTTACCGACTCCGTGTCCGCACCTCCGGCGATAGCCGGGTTAATATAGCTGAAGTAAGTTATCAACATTTGGATTGTTTTTAGAGATAAAAGATAAATGTAATAGAAATTATAAAGAAAAGATAAGTTAAAAAAATACATCATCGCCTCAGACACAGGTTGTTGTAAATATATACAAGAAACTTGATTTATGTTTAGTTAAGTTATAATCCAAGCAAAACAGGCTAAAAGACCTAATCTACGAATAGTGGAATGTATTAACGTAAAATAGTTTTTATTCTTTATTTTTTCCTTACAGCTAAATTAAGAATCACTACCATTATCTAAAAAAAAATACTTGGTTTTTCATTTATAATCTTGTCAAGTCTTTATAGACCCATATCGTAAAATTATTATCGACATAAACACCGATGTTCATGATTATTTAAACATAAAGCAAATTAGATACCTCCTGAAATACTTATTTTTCATATTGCGAAAAAGCGTATTTAAACTTTTGAATAGCCGAGTGTTGACCACTCCTGATGGTAAAAAGTATAACGAGACGGTAATAATAGGTTGAGCCAACTTCTCGCCCGCAAAACAAACATAGTCGACAGAGCAGGCGAGCGCTCAGAGAGTGCTAAATTACTTTAATAATGGCGACTGGCGCAGGCGTGGACAGCTTCAGGTATTTTCTGAAGTCTTGTTAACAATTTGTTTTTAATTTATGATTTTGGAGATCTTTGATTTATAATACAACCATCACAAAGCGATGCAAGTTTCTATTCTAATAAAACGACAACAGTATTATAAAAAATATATTTAAGAGTAAAAAAGGGAGCTATAATTGATTTTATCATTTTTAGGGTTCTTTAAAAATCGTTAGGAATAAGCAAAGATGTTTAGAAATTTAATTAAATATAACTTTAGTTCATAGTAATAATAATTACACAGGCAAATCTAGTGATTTATGCGAGGAGCAATTGTAAAAAACTTTGGTTTGTTCATCAATTTTTACGCATTCACTTTAAATTATTTGTCTGTGGTCATTTCGAGGGAAGCGGGGCACGTAACACCGTGTGTAAAATTATAGCAATAAATGATATTTATCTTGTATAATACAGCTGTCAGAATTATAGCTGCCAGTTATATTTTTTTCAGAGCGGTTTCGAATCATCGACACAGTCCACTAATAACCAGAGGAGCTTGCCGTCTACAAACTGTTACATTAGGATTTTGAATCCCTTATTGATATTGTCAAATTAATTCTGCGACAAGTCAATTTTATGAGGTGTCAACATTCTTAACGTACAGATCACATTTTCATTGCCGTGTTTTTTTATTAGAAAATTTGCAAAGGAAACCTTTAAAACCTAATCATATTATTTTCTAATTTCTTTGCCTTGATGGCTAAGCCAGGCCAATAGCCAAAGGAATATACAGATTATATAGAGGTGTATGATTTTCTTTTATATGTTGTGTGTTTTACATTAAGTCGAAGGACTTTATTGTAACTAATGATCGGTTTTATTTTAATAAATTTGAACTATATTAACTTAAAGCCGTTTTTATGCATTCCCTTTATTAGCTCTCATCTCTACTCATACAAAATTGTCTGAAATTTGCTAATGTTAACGCCCTAACCAGCTTATGAAAAAATCCACTTACTATTTAATGTCATAATATAAAAATGCATTAATGACTTAAAATACATTTTTGAATGAAATTTTAAATGAAGTATTTAATTTCCTATTAAGGTGTACCTACAAGTAAAATAGATCCTACATACTTAAATTTCAAAATATTTATCTCTGACTCTCTCTCAACTGTCATACTCGTACTATTGAATCTATCTACTACATACCCAAAAGTAGACGTTACAAAGTTCTTAAGAAATAAAACCTCAAAATAACGACAAGGGCTTAATCAGGGATCGTATGACTCTGTCCACTTAAAAGGGTGCAATTAGCGGGCAGTTGTACAAAACTGAATACGACGTCCGCGCAGTCGGAGCGCCACAATGATGCCGAAGGCATAATTGAATCCTCCAGAGTTTTTGCAAATAATTGATAAAATGTAACATTCACAATACCAAAAGACATCCTAAATATACTCAATAATAGATATAGCAGCTTAATTGTAGCACATAGCTGATACATCAGTTTTTAGACGATTAGTAGGAATAAATTGTTTAGAACGAGGGGGTCAAATTATGATAAATATTTATTTTTTTCTAATAAGGATAGTGTATTAACGAATATATAATTATAAAGAATTGTGTAACATCAAGTTTCCATCAGAGTCAAAGGAAATTGAATGATTAATTCTAATTAAGCGTCATAAAACTAAAAACTGATCCCAGCAGTTGTTACCTTTTACTAAGGTAAAATTCGTTGGATCGACAATGAAAAAAATTAAAAACTTTCTTTTATGCACGAGCCCACCATACGATCGTAATAGATTAATGATATAGCCTGCGAGGTCTGTTCTTAAACGAAAAGCCTTAAAGGAGAGGTCGCGATGTGCGCGAGGTGGCCGCGCGGTCGGTAATGACGCGGCGGCCGCCACCCGCGCGCGCGCGAGCGAGACACCGCGCTACAAGAGAGCGGGACTGACGGATAATCGATGGAGGCGCCGGTTGCGCGCCGCGGGGCGGCGCCCGCGCCGGCCCCACGCGCACGCCGCGGTTTATTGAGAAATTCTCAAGATGATGCATACTTTTCCTTTTGGCGTTCTCTGTAGTTATTTCTCTCCCTGTTAACAATATTACCATTTCGGTGACCAGACTCGCAGACCCATATATTATCGTGAACATCGTCGCTGCGTTGAAAATATAATTGATTTATTTCAAGACATTAATTCGACGTTGATTACGTTTGCTTTTAAACGTCTTTTTATGAGACGCAAGAGGTCTGTTGAAAGATATTTTCAATTTATGGGAAACCACTTCATACGTCGCTATAGAACTACGAATAAACTTTTTTCTCCTATCACTATAACATTTGTTTATTAAAATAAATAAATAAAATAATAGTCCCTTAGAATAAAAGTACAAAACACTTGACTGCAATAATTGCGTATTTACTATTTAATACCTTTATAAAACTTTTTGGAAAAAAATATTTAATGTAATTAATAAATAAAAAAGATTTATCCCACTTACCCCGCTTCACTCAGGTATAGCTGTTAAAACAACAATCACGTCTTATCGGACAGTTATGCTAATAAGACATGCTAATTCCCAAAACCAACAACCCAACAAGCGACGAACAAAACGGACGGCGGACGGTGGGTCGATGGGTTGTAGAAAAAGAAATAAGAGGGAGCGGAGCAGACGGGCGCCATGGCGCAATTACATCCGCGGCTGATCGAGAGACGAAATAATAGTTGTCCGGTTAACATGCTATAAACATCAAGCTGTTTCAATTCGCACTCTGCTACAAAATATATTTTTAATTAGCTTTATTATACTATATAGCTGAGTATGATTATTGTGCCTAAAACTTATGTAAGTGATATTTTTAGTAACATATTTGGTAACTGATTTGTATAGCCCTTGAAAACGTTTAGCAGACAGAAAATTGGTAACAGAAATATATTTTATTTTGTTGATATGCATCTTATAGTCTATATTTCCAAATTATACATTTATACGATTTAATATTCAACTGTTTTTGATTCAAACAGCCTTCATAGTGGATTCAATTGTAGTTAAATTACTTATGAAAAGCTCAGTTTTACCTGTGAATATCGGTTTGCTTTTACGGTTAAATTCAATGTGATTTACCTATTTTTCATAATTCTTGAAATATATTTTATAATTCATGTCCCTAATAAATTGAAATAATGTATTTCAAAATAGTAGCTATACGAAGTGTTAAATGATGAAAAAGTGAAAACGCATGAAAGGCAGCTGCGATGACCGGAATCGTTTTTAAGTTGCCAACTTTTTAGGAGGTCTACATTGTTGCCGCTGTAACTTAAGTTCTGAGAAGGAAAACACTGGTCGAACATTGCTTTAGCATATTTCGCATTGTTTAACATATTAAATCAAAATTTTAGTATGTTGTGTACCTATAATCCCATAAAAAATCAATGAGCATACCAAATGACCTATTTGATAGAGTTTGGAGGGGATCTTGACCACAAGCGGAGTGATACTCATGTTTTTTGTACCTAATAATGTTCGGAAAATTGAATGATCAGGAAATTGAAAAGTCCAGAAAACATTTTAATTTGAAGCATCAACACATTGTAATTTTTTTTTGTGAGCACAATAAGTAATGAAAAATGTGTTATAGCGTTCGATGTTCTTTTCAGCCGAATGTTTTGTAGCCAATGCCAAAGCCAAAGTCAATGTGACAAAAAAGGGCCAGTTCCATTACGTACATTTGTACCTACTTAGGAA